AACGTGGTGTACGAAGTGAAATGCATGGGAGGAGAAAATGTAGACTGTAACAAAATATATATAGGTACAACGAAAAGAACACTGGGAATCCGTTTGTGACAAGAACATCAGTATGACAAGTGTACCAAACGATAATGGTACAATGCTCTAGCTTTTAAGTGTTTATGTTTTAGTGTTTATATGTTTATGTGTTTATATGTTAACAAATATACGTATATGAAAGTAAGTGTATATGTTTGCTGCGTGATAAATTCAAATATTGAGACTTTATTAACTACATGTTCAATGTAACTTTTGTTCCTAATTGTTTTTGTTTGTATCTTCTTTTGTTTGTTAATTTAAAATAAAGATTGGCCCCTGAGGATGCTAAGGAGTTTAGCGAAACGTAGGGCAAAGCAGTGAAGAAAAAACGTTGTTTTTACTTGCACTAATCACCAACTAGGCCAAAGAAGCTCATCAAAATTAATAAAATTTACGAAGAAAATTGGCCAGAAAATAAGATATTATATTATTATTATTATTATTATTATTATTTTTTATTTTTTATTTTTTTTCTTAGGAGAGGGAAATGCTTTATGCACTGGCCGGGGGCGCTAGTCTCTATAGTACCATCCTTTAGTGTGAGACTCCCACCGAAGCGTGTTGGGCTACCCACTAAAACCCAAACTCCCACCGCCCGCGCAAGAATCCCGCATCTGGCACCGCAATTCTGCATGTCTTCAGATGCAGGAGCGCGCTGTTAGAGCCTTGGGGCTGCTCTTTTGTAGGGGCGTTTCATTCGGGTGTCCTCAGTAGTCAACCGTCCTCTCGTTATCAGCGGAGTACGAATTTCACGTATCTCGCAACTGCTTCCCACTTTTCTGCGCTGGAGATCATTACCCCAACTATGTTGTTCGGAGTTATGTCTCCGTGTCTTTCTTCCAACATTCTGCGCGAAATCAAGAAGTGTTCGCAGGTGAAGAATGTGTGGTACACGTTATCTTCGACGTTTCCACAGTAGTGACAGATCGGTGAGTCCACCCTTCCCATTCTATGAAGATATTTTCGGAAGTAACCATGACCGGTGAGGAATTGCGTCAGGTAGAAATCGACTTCCCCATGTGGTCTGTTCAGCCATGTTCGAAGGTCGGCTATCAGGGAGTGCGTCCATCGACCTTTTGTGCTCGCGTTCCAGTTTTTTTGCCACTGCTGGATCAGTTGGCCGCGCGCCCTTGCCGCGGCAGCTGCTCGGCCTATCTCGGCACTGAGATTGTAAATCTCTTTTCGCTCGTAAACAAGTAGCTCAATTGGCATGACGCCAGAAATAACTAGAACCGCGTCCGCGGACACTACGGTATGCAGAAGCAATGCGTAGTGCCCCTCTGCGCTGTACCGAAGACATTTGAATCCGGTATTTTTTGACTTTCAATGCGTCAGCCCATATTTCTGCCCCGTACAGGAGCACCGATTGGACCGCTGTCATTAGAAGCTTCCTGCGGCATGGCTTCGGGTCGCCCACGTTCGCCATCAGCCGGCTTAGAGCCGCCGTGCTCTGCGCAGCTTTTTCCCATACTCCATGGATGTGTTCCCAGAATGTGAGTTTGCTGTCAAGCTTCACCCCTAGGTATTTTGTAGACCTAGAAGTCGTCACGAGTTGAGGTCCGACCATCATATTTATAATTGTTGGGAACCGTTTCCTGGTGAGGAGCACGATCTCCGTTTTGGCTGTAGCCAATTGCAGACCGTGATCGCTCATCCATCCACTGACGTTGCGCATGACCTGGTTAGCTTGACCTGTGCTAGCTGGACTTTTCTTGCTGTTATGACGGCGGCCACTTCGTCCGCGAAGGCGACAAGGAAGGCGCTCTCCGGCATTTCCGTGCGCAACAGACTGTCATACGTGGCGTTCCAGAGGTCCGGGCCAAGTACAGACCCCTGTGCCGCTCCGCCGGTTATACGTCTCTTTCTCTGACCTTGTGTTGTGTCGTACAAAAGCCAACGGTCTCTGAGGTAGTCCCGGATCATATCTAGCAAGTATGTTGGAACCTTGAATGACCGTTCCAAGGCCTCCAGCATGTCGTCCCATCTTTCCGAGTTGAAGGCGTTCTTGACGTCCAGTGTGACTAGCAGCACTATTGGCCGCGCCTGGTGGCAGGCTTCTTCGGCCTTATGTACCGCCTCGACTACTTTTCGGGGTGAAAGGCCTCCCTCGCTTTCTATGGCTGACGTCAAGCGTATTTTGAGCAGACTCTCCATCATTTTGCCTGCTGTGTCTAGCATGCAGAGTGGCCGGAAGGATGAAGGAGAGTTTGGGTCCCCTTTGCCCTTGGGTATAAGCACCAGTCTCGCCTTCTTCTTCTAAGATAGCTGTTGTACATGTTAAGCAGAAGATCAGGGCTCGTTTCCGCTGCTAACCTGATTGCCTCCGCTGGTATGCCATCTGGGCCAGGAGCCTTGCCGGCTTTCATGCTTCGCAGGGCTAGCTTCAGCTCGTCTGTCGAAAAGAGTGGTGCCTCGGCTTGCTCCTCGACGAACACTGTGTCGGCTCTTAGTGGGTGTGTGGGAAATATCGCATCCACTATATTCTTAACTCGGGCCTCATCCATCGCTTGCGATGATGTATGGAACTTTTTCATCACTATTTTGTATCCCTGGCCCCAGGGATCGCGATCCACTTCGTCACATAGCGCTTTCCAGCAGTTCCGTTTACTCTTCTGTATCTCGGCCCCAAGTGCTTTCTTAGCTTGCTTATTATTATTATTATTATTATTATTATTATTATTATTATTATTATT